TCTATACCTTAGCTAAGAAGAAATCATAGCATAGGCCTGACCCTCTATTCCTTGTGCATCCAAAACTCTGACTGAAGCCAGTAGCAACTCTGGGTACTCAAAGCACTGAAGGACTGGGCTCAAGATCAATTCATTCATGGTCCATTTCTCAATAAAGTGCGAACGTATGTACTTAAAACTCACCTTCTCTTTCTCTCCCCCATTCTGATAATGAACCAATCCAAGTCTCTTTAAACAAGTGCAAATTACTAAGTGGAACATAGAGATACTACAGAAAAACATTTCAAAATAAGGTGCAACGTTTACTTTAGAGAAAAGCATATCCTTACTATTTTTTCTTTCTTTTCTTTTTTAACGTATTTATGTATTTATAAAGCCAAACATTAAAAAAATACTGAGTAGCAAATGTAATCCTTAAAGATTCTCAAGCAGTGGCAGAGGCCTCTAGAGTTAAGCACTCCCACCCTGCATTGAGTCAGATACTGTATGATTTTCATTTGCTTCTATATATTATTATTATTAATACACATCTCTAGAGAGGCCATAACCATAGTCTGTGACTCCCAGGGCCACTTTTTTTGCCTACCCACTTTCAAATGTCACTGACACTCTGGATCAGAAACTGAATCTGACCCTCCGGCTTACAAAACGTTTGATTTGAAGCCTGTTTCTATTTGCTCCCTTTCGGTAAATGTGGAGACAAGTTGTGATTCTCTGTGAAACACAGAAATGCAAAGGATCTTTTACAGCAGAAAAATTGGTTTGTTGGGGGGGCGGGGGGAAGGAACGCAGCAGGAGAGAACACCAAAGAAATGAAACAACCACAACAGAAACATCGTGCAAATCAATTACACTTTCTCCTTTAAAACCACAACGTGGGTGGGTGGGTTGTTTCTGATTGTTGCTGTTGTTATTTATTAGGATGGGCTCCTTCTTCCTCCCTACTAGGGAGCATGGGTGGGCTGAATCCTATGTCCCGTAGCACAGTTCAGGGGCTTTCCTTTCCGGGCTGCAAAAGATCTTCCGGGGAGGGAAGATCACTGTCCAGGCTGGGCCCGGTCTCGCAGGCAGCAGCGAAGAGATGGGGCAGGTGCTGCCCAGCAGAGACCATGTCAAGAGGCAGAAGGGCCGAGGCGGCGGCGGCGTTCGCCTTATCAGCCGGCGCCAGCACGGAGGACAGACAGGGGAAGGCGGCGGCGGCGGCCTGGGCCGGGATGCCGGAGTAGAGCAAGGGGATGGGGGCGGCGGCCGGGTACAGATATTTCTCCAGGTTGCTCTTGTCCAGCAAGGGCTGCATGTAGGCCGCGGCCGCGGAGGGCGAGATGAAGTAGAAGGGCAGGCAAAGGGGGGCGGCGGCGGCTTGCGGGCCAAAAGCAGCCCCGCCCCCGCCAAAGGCCATGAGGGAGCTGAGCAGGGCGGCGTCGGGTCTCAGCAGGGCAGCAGCCGCCTGGTGCTCCGGGCTCAGCGCGGCGGCGGCGGCAGCAGCAGGGAGCGTGGCGCTGCCGCTGCAATCCAGCCTCAGCCTCTTGGGCGCTGGGGCCTCGTCCCCGGCAGGCTCCTGTTTGATAGTCACGCCGGGCAGCCCAGCCGCTGGGCCTTTCTCTCGATCCGGCCGGCCCTCGCTCTCCCCCCCATAGCCGCTATCCGTGTCTGTGTCGTTCTCCCCGCCGAGCTCCACGGGCGGGTGAGTCCGCTGGATGACAGGGACGCAGTTAGTCTGAGCCTCCAGCTTTTGCCCGGTGCGATCTTGTGTACAGGAGGAGGAGGATCCTTTGCTCACGGGGACCTGTGGAGTCAACAGCTGGGGGCTGGGTAAGAACTGAGTGGAAACCGCGTGCAGATGGTTTACGAGCTGGGCACATCTCTGCTCTCTGGGAGTCCAGCTTTCAAACCTGGAGAGGTATTGCAAGACTTCTTTGGCGCACGTTTGAAATCCCGAATGGAAAGCATCCAGGTCGCACTGAATGGGGGACTTCATAGACCGCTCCCCTGTGATGGAGAATATGGGAGGGGGAATGCAAAGAAAAGTCAGCATAAAAACAGCTGCTCTCACCGGCATGGGAGTCCCTGCTATTGGGCTTGTCCTTTTAAGTCAAAACAAAGGTAACTTCAGTGATTTCTTAGGGAAGTCTTTCAATCCAGGCTACCTCGCCTCATGGGGCACAAATGCCTATATTTGCTGGGAGTTAACATGGCAATGTGGCTGGTGACATCTCATTGGAGGTCAGCATTTTGGCCAGATAATACACTAAGCATTTTATTATATTCCTTTCAAAGCACATGAAAAAAAAATTCAAAGGACTGCCCCTATGAATTATAGTATTATGAGATCTCCAATTTAACAACCATGTCTCCTGAGTATGTTTATGTGCTGGCATCTTCTGAAACTGACTTACCATTCTGTAAAGCAATTATATTCTGATGCTGTTGCTCCGTTAAGGCTGTTAAAGCTTTCAAGTGTTTCAAAGTTAATTCCAAAACTACAGCTTTCTCCAGATGCCCCAATGTCTGAAAAGTAGGGGGGAAAGGGACACTTGGTAACTAACACAATACAATTGCCCATTATATTCTATGTCCCTAACTTCAGGAACCTCCCTTTTGAAAGGAGTATTATATTTAAAGCTTCTGGTTTTACATAAGCATGTTAGAAATGATTGCTGCTTTAAACTGAAACACATACACATACACCTCTGTAGAAAACCTTTACCATCCAACACAAGTCATACTTTTTCAGCTCTACAGTTCCTGTCCTTAAATTTTAAGATAATCACAAAGAACATATTGTATAATGCTTCCCACAATGAAATATATAAACCTTACCGTCAATTTCAGATGCTCAGGCAATAAATCTTTTAGCTGAGCAATGCATTCATTAATCCTGTCTCGCCTCTTCTTTTCTATCAATCTGTGTGGCAGTTTGTATGTTTCCTAATTAGTAAAGTCAGGAAAAGCCAAATGTTACATTCACTTAATATGACAATCAAAACAAAAACAAATGTCCACATGTAGTGCAAATTGCAAAGCATGTATAGCCCTCCCTTGTATGCTTGTTCTCCGGTAGGCACACTTATAATTCAGGGGAAGTTAAAAGGGAAGAAACTTGGATGCGGTTATGGGTAAAGCTATGCTATAAAAAACACCGAACCCCAATTAAGTATCAGAAACTTATTCTTACCTTACTCTCGTCTCTTTTCATGCCTCTTTTGGGTTTGCACAAATACAAGGATGGATAGTCCAGTCTGCAAAAATGAAAGAGATCCAATGGTAGTATGTCAATGAGCTACCTATCACTTTCATAAGTGGGAATATATACATACAGAAAGAAAAAAAACATAAGATATGCATATAATATTGCACAGCTCCAAAGATAGTCCCCGACTGCAAAAAAGAAGACAAGAATCAGACACCATTTAAGAACAATCTATCTTTTCAATGCTTTATATCAGTTTCTTAAAAAGAAACGAAACACTAGTGATAAGAGACAGAGATATATTGCACTGGCTCCTTACCCTATAAAATCCACATGTTCTAGCAACTGCCTGTCTTGCAAACGAGGGATTCCTTCATCCATGTTTGACAACAGCTGATTTTTTGTTGTTGCTTTTGATTGAATCTGTGGGATGCTGAGAGTCTTTGGAGATCTTTGAGCAAAACTGTGCACATGCAGCCTCTGTCTCTCTTGTGCACTGGGGAAAGTGTGAAGCAGTTTGTCTCCCCTCCCCTCTCTCTCTCTCTCTCTCTCTCCCACTCATACAGTCACAGTCACACACTGTGCTGGTAGTTTGCACTCACTGATCAGTGTTTGGCCACAGGGCACGCGCGTCGCCAGCCAGACCAGCACCCAGCTCACGTGCGGAACGTACCATACAAGCTCCAGACTAGGGGTTTGGGTGGGAGGGAGAGGAGGCGGGGACAATTGGTCCAGGCGACCGGAAAAGAAAAACAACTTTGTCCAGCTATTCATCTTCCAAATGGCAATGCAGTCAGCTGAGGTTTCCTCCTGTAAGGAAATCAACGCAGCACTCCTGATCACGGTGCATTTAGTGTCTGGGGGTTGGTTGCTCTTTAGTCTAGTCAGTTTATGGACTGGGGGGGATAGAGATTTCACATATAGCATAAAGGATGCTGGATTTAAAAGCGGAGGCACAACGTGGTGGTCCTGTGCAAAAAGCAAAACGCGTTGGGAGGAAAAATCCGTAGTGGGGGAGACCTTAGTTTGCCAAGATGCAATTTTCAAATCATTTGTCTGGAAAGTGATTAAAATGGTGCATTCAAAAATGTCCTTTTATTCCTGAGCTACACAGATCTGCCAAGTCCCATTTAGGGAGTTTAAAGTTTGTCCGTTTGGTGACGAGAGATTATTTTGCCCGTTTATTTCAATGAGCCATTTATAATCTCGTGGGTTTTTGTTTAATCTGTCTCGTGCAGGTGATCATAAACGGCCTGTAACTCTTCATATTGCCCTTTAGAAAGAACCAGGAGCGCCCTAGTTGAGGCTACCGATTACAGCGAGTTGATGTCTGTAGGTGCAAATCAGGAGCGTGCTCTAGTGGTTTTATGACTGTCACAGACTACATCGCTGTTGCAAAGGAGTTGTCAGGAGAGGCAGAGAGAGGGGGGGGTGACATTGGGAGAGGACTTACACTGAAGTGAAATGTAATATTAATCACTCCCCTGTGAACGTCCATTGCTCTGTGTTTCTGGTGGTACGTGCCCCTCCTGTCCTCCTCCCCTCCCTTCTCCCAACACACACACACTTTCTCTTAGTCTGATAATGAACCCTGGATGTGTGCGCATAGCCCACGTTTACTACCACTGGCACCTAAAAACCCTCCTCCTTAATCCTGTCTCAAACGGGTACACGCACAGGGCTAGCAACGTGATCCGACCTGCCGCTGCCACATCACAGCGGTGAGAGCCCTTGCTCTGGAGCTGCTGCTGCTGCACCCGCTGCCTAGGGAGAAATGCAAACGCAGCTGCAGAAGCAGGAGTATTTACCCGCTCCCCAGAGAGAGCCCAATGGAAATGACTCAGTGCAAGTCAAAGTATAGGTGGGAGGAATCTGCGATGCTAGGGACTCCTGCTGCTTGTGGGAACAGCAACCAGCCACGGTTGCTAAACCAGCCACCGGCATTATATACTGTCTCCCCAGTGCTGATTCCCTGCGGAAATTAGATTGCAAATGAAAATGACCGTAAAGCAGGGGTTGTATTAAATCTACATACATGGGGATGGAGAGATCTGGGCTCTGGTGGGGTGTTAAGAGCTCCTGCTGGAAGTTAGCAAACGCAGGGGCAGGTTTATTTTCTCCCAATGGAGCTCAATGGAAACCACACACTGTAAATGGCAGTAAATGAGGAGATCTACATATGGATGTCAGTGTTGCCAGCCCTCACAATTTTCTGGGGAGTCTCTGGATATTTGGGGTTTTTTTTAAAGCCCCAGCTCCTGTAGGCATGTGATTACATGAGAATCTCACCTTTCTTTTAAAAATGACTAAACTTCTAACAGCTCAAGAACAAGACAGCAAATTAAAAAACTCCATATTTATTATATTTTAAAAAATCTCATGATTTTTAAAGCCATTCTTATGATTTTGGGAAACCGATTCATGATTTTGGTTTGCTTGGCACTGTTACATATAGGGTACATGAAGTGTGAATGAGGATTTAGGAGTGGAGAGGGCTGTAGTGGGGTGTTAGGAGCTCCCAGAGGTGGTGCTAGCCCATTGGGGGCCCTAAGCAGGAATATTTTGGTGGACCTCCCCCACACACAACACATTATTGGTATGATCAGGGCCCTAAGCAATTGCTTAGTCTGCTTATGCCTAGCACCGGCTCTGGGAGCTCCTGCTACTAGTGAGAAAAGTAAACGCTGCTGCAGGGGCAGGATTGTTTAATTTCTTCCCAGTGATCCTGATGGAAATTACGCATCGTCAGTGAAAGTCAATCAGGAGATACACCATGCATAGGGCCCTACCAAATACACAGCCATGAAAAATGCATTATGGCTTATGAAATCTGGTCTTTTGTGTGCTTTTACCATACTATACAGATTTCACAAGGGAGGTCCTGACCCAAAAGGGAGTTGCAGGGGGTCAGAAGGTTATTTTAGGGGCCCGGGGTTGAGTCGGGGTATTGACACCCTTACTTCTGTGCTGCCTTCAAAGCTGGGCGGCTGGAGAGTGGTGGCTGTTGGCCAGGCACCCAGCTCTGAAGGCAGCACCCCGCCAGCAGCAGCACAGAAGTAAGGGTGGCAATACCATACCATGCCATCCTTACTTCTGTGCTGCCGCTGGCGATGACTCTGCCTTCAGAACTGGGCTCCTGGCCAGCAGCCACCGCTTTCCAGCTGCCCAGCGCTGAAGGCAGAGCCACCACCAGCAGCAACGCAGAAGTAAGGGTAGCAGTACCGCAACCCCCCCCCCCCACACACAACTCCTTTTTGGGTCAGGACCCCTACAATTACAACACTGTGAAATTTCAGATTTAAATAGCTGAAACCATGAAATTTACTATTTTAAAAATCCTATGACCGTGAAATTGACCAAAATGGATGGTGAATTTGGAAGGGTCCTAACCAGGGTGTATACATTCAACGGTGCTTGGGTGTAGCAAAAGGAGTTATGAAGCTCTAATGCAGTGGTTCTCAACCCGTGGCTTGTGGGCCACTTGCAGCCCAATCAGCACATAGCTGCAGCCCATGTGACATCCTCAGGGCCATACAGGTAGTATATATATTGTGTGGGTGCAGTCCACATAACACATAGAGAGCTGTCTATGTGGCCCACAATGGTAAATAGGTTGAGAACCACTGCATTTTGAGAGCACTTGCTGCTAGGGAGAAAAGCAAATTATTGGGTAGGCTAGATTGTACACCTTCTTCCCAGAGTGAGTTCCGTGTAAATTACACATTGCAAGTGAAAATTGCCTGGCTATTGGCATGTGACAATGGTACATGCTCACATAGTTGTTTCCTTCTAATACTGAACAAGGAACTTCATTAGAATAAGGAAACAATATATTTCCTCAAACTCTCTTGTGTATCTCTCTGCTTCATTTTAGAGCTTCTACCTAGAATCAGCCCTGAACCCTTCTACCTTGCTTCCTACTACATTTTTAAAGAACCAGTACACTAATCATCACTGATAATAGGGTGATGGGCCCATTAGAAATTCAACAGATAAGAGAAAGAGAGATGTGTCTGCCTCTGTCATCTATTACCATCTACATATACATGTGCATGATGGGGAAAGAGCTTTGCTGTGATGTTAGAAACTCTTGCTGCCTATCAAGAAATGGACGTAGATTTAACGTCTCCCCAGGGTGATAGCCACTGAACCAGGACCTTATACACATAGGCCCCAATTCATACTTGTGCAGGGTGACCAGATAGCAAGTGTAAAAAATCAGGACACGGGGTGAAGGGTAATAGGTGCCTATATAAGAAAAAGACCCCAAAATTGGGACTGTCCCTATAAAATCGGGACATCTGGTCACCCTATACTTGTGGCAGTGAGGAGCCCAGCACAGGGGCTGATGAAAAAATAAAGGTGCATCCTGGGGTAATTAGGAGCCAGTCGGGCCCCAAGCGAAAATTAAGGCAGCCCTGAGAGCTGCCCTAACTTGTACTGTTAATCCACGGCCTCTGTGGACCTTGGAGGAACTCAGACCTGGCCACACTCCCTCTTACACCCAGAATGCCCTCTGGCCTCTCCTGACATCCCAGAATGCCCCCTGCTCCCAGAGCCAGATGGAAGGGTAGGGCTTCTGTGACAGGGGTATTCCCTAGGGTGTGCAGTGCAACTGTGAATTAGGCCATAATGTGCTGGGCTGGAGAGCAGGTCTCTGAAGCATTTGGAAATCCTGTTTGGCAGAGATTACATGCCTGCTGTATTATTCCTCTCCCCTTTACTTCACCAGACTGCCGCTGCAGCTGCTGCTGCCTGGCTCAAGCACAGATCCTTTACACAGTGCTTGACTGCATGACAGTGGTGGTGGCAGGCCTGCCACGTCTCACTTCTTTTTAGGGAGACTCCCCTCCTTTCGAGTGAGCAGGTTTTTCAAAATAGCTCACTTGTATTGAGGAAGCCTTTTGGTTTTTGTGTCTCAATGGAACTTTAAACCATTCTGTCATGTACGTTGTCTCCTAACCTTGTGCTGGTGGCGCTGGTGGGGATATGTTAAATATCCCCCCCCACCCCACCCCCTTCCCTAAACTACCAACATCTAGGTTCTGAACATAGCAAGAGACTTGGCAGTGGGACGGCAAATATTTTTTCTATCTAATCTAAGAGGTGATGCTCTAGGCACACCATGACAATGGGTCCCACAGCTCCACCTCATTTTGGGCCATCATCCCCCACCTGGAGTGACAGTGGCAGAGAGGGATGGGCAGCAGCATGGGCTTCCTTATTGCCCCCAGGAGCAGCAGTGTCTTCTCACCTTTGGAATAGCAGGTCCCCTCCTTTCCATGGAGAGGCAGGGGGCCAAAGGGGAGCGGACCCCCTGTTGGAGTACTTACCTCAGCAGCCAGGGGTGTGTGGGCCAGGTTTGAGGCATTCTTCTCTTGCCACACACAGATCCCACTGCTAGGTGGTATTGATGTCCGCTGGAGTTAACATTCTATTGAGATCCACGGGTCAGTCTACAGCTCTCAAAGCTATTGTTTCAGGCTCTCTGCAGACTCAGGCAGACATTGTTTTGGTTACACTCATGTTACATTGTTAAGCTTCTCTTCACACCTATGAGGGATAGAAACATGCTCTGGGGGGGAAAAAGCATCTTAGATTCTGACCTCATTGTGTGATTCCAG